TTGGTCTCGCATCATTGAAAAAATTATAATAAGCCTCATTGTAATATATGCAATTTATTGTCAGCTCATTAAATTTGCTCCTCAGGTGAAATGATAAATATTCTCAGACAAAACTATGCAATGTCTTCCACGCACAAGCATATATAATCAAGGCAAACCTGTAGTAACTTATAGTACATTATAGCCTATCGAGGCACCGGCAATTTGTAAGCCATTCCTGTTTAAATATTTAATATAGTCGTTGATTTCTTCACACTCTGGTAGAGGAGACCCGCATACCACTGGGTGATGATTTATTTATCAAATGGATATTCGGTGTATGTGTAGACCTTGTCCTACACCTATGGATATCCACATTTATACTCGTGTATAAGACAAAGGAAAGGAAACAGTGCAAATCAAGGGCTCAGCTCACCTTATTTATCTTCAAAAGAAGTTGTCAAGATATCTCAAAACTGAGAAAAAAGGATACTGAGGACATCAGAGAAAAGGAGAGAGCCCATTTTGGGAGAAAAAAAAACGGAACCCCTTTGTTATTAAAAGAAAACAAAATCAAAGGTTTCAATCAAAATCAAAATCAAAACCTCTCTGCACCGGCATAGGAAGATTTGTTTTTCAACACAGAACAATAATCGAACCCTTATGTCTGATGCGAAGAAAAGCGCCCCTTATACAAATGCATCAAGTTATGATCCATGCAGCCTAGCCTCTGGATGAACCAATAGCCATAAGGAAATCAATTTATTTGGGTATTCATTCCATGATGTTGACATACATGAGGAAAATGTCAAAATGTCATTGAAAACAAACTTGAAGTGTCATACAAGTGCGTGCTTACATATTTTCAACTTTGTATGCGATATAAAGAAATCACAGATTAATCAAAGACATGTTATTATTGACACAAACGCAGATACCTTTAAGAAATCAACCAAAGGACAATTTAAAACATATTCCATATTCCATAGAAATCTGGTTTAGATTACGTAATACATCATTGTAATGGTCGCACTTTTAAAATGCAATGACCAAGACTATTGAAATTGTCGCAGGTTGATTTATCGAAAATCTTTACGATCATGAGCTAATGTGTTCTAGTTCCCCAGTGAGATTTCCGCATTCACACTTGTATTAAATCTGATCGTTTTTTTTTCTTCAAATGAAAACACATATTATATCATCAGGTTTGATTGCGTGTGATGGTATATGTTTTATTTAATGAGTTAGGAATGCAATTGCATTTGAAATATCATTCATTCAGAGAGGGATTCACAATTCCTAGCTCTATGTCAAGGAAAAATTGAATGGAATCAAAATCGCATGGGCCTAATTATAACTTACTGCGTTCTCAAATTGCAATTGCATATAGAGCGCCAGCTCTTGACAGTTTTTGTTTAACCTGTCATTGAACTATTACTTTAGAGGGTTATTTACTGGGTTTCGGAGATGGAGAGAGAGATACGAAAAAAATGAGAGGGGTGGGAAGGGAAAGGGATATAGAGAAGAGGGAAGAGGAGAGGGAGGAGTAGGGGTGGAGGGAAGAGAAAAAGAGGAGAGAGATAAGAGAGAAAGAGAGAGAGAGAGAGAGAGAGAGAGAACGAGAGGAGGAGGAGGGGGGGGGGGGTGTTGCAAATCTCTTATTGGAAATTTTGTCAGTAGATTGAGATATAGTAACGGATAACTCTCCCGTTTGTCGAGTACACAAATATCACTTATTTCTGTTTTTCTCCCAAGAACAATCCTTCCTTGGTGCACAACTCAAAATAGATTATGGAGAGTATATTATTACAGGTCCTAAAGATAAAAGGCAATACAAATTTAGTCATTTTTTGTGTAGGAACTAATTGCAAAATAATCCACCACGACATCACAGAGATATTTAATACTGATTCAGCCAATTCGAGGAGCCCATCCATAATAGTGATTGCAACTATTATAAATTCATAACTTTCTAATTTTTTGTCCGATTTCATTTTAACTTTTACCAGCACGCTTCTCTGAGTTTTCTGGTTTCTTCTGGAGTAGTTTGCTATCAAGGTTGGATTTCCCTTATAATGAACCTCTTCTCTGTCTTGAGTGAGTAACTTTGGCGCAGGTCTATGTGAATTGAAGAATGAATCAGTTTCTGTCCAAAGTCTCCAATTATTGACATATGACACTCACCAGGTGGTCACTCTGCGAGTTTAGGTATGTGCCTCTCGGCGAAAAACATATGAGACATGAAGTTATAAAATATTAAAAAAATAAGTATATATTTGGAACAGAGGAAAAAGTGAAAGAGAGAACCTAGTTATCCCCCTTTGTAAGAGTATGATCCGCCGAGTGCCCCCCTTCCCCCATCCGCACCCAAAACGGTTGCAGGGGACCTGTAGGAATCAGCGAAACAAATTACCAATGAAATTTGAAACTAAGTCAAAAGAAAGATTGTAAAATATTCCAAAACATATAATAACTCAGAATGACACCGACAATAATGAAGATGAGGGATGGAGAAGAGGGGGGGGGGGGGGCGGGGGCGGCAAAAGTATCATCAATACTTACGAGTTTGCGTCATCGGAATATCTGCACTATAATGATCCATAACGAACCAGGGAACAATTCGCGAGAGAGACAGAGAGAGAGAGAGAGGATAATGATAAGAGAGGATATTAAGTAGAGAAATTGGACAAGGAGAGAGAGAGAGAGAGAGAGAGAGAGAGAGAGAGAGAGAGAGAGAGAGAGAGAGAGAGGTCGTAGACTGTTCACTGGGCTTAAAGGAACATGTACAGCTGTCATCATAAAATGCAAAAGCTTCAAACATTTAGACCTGAACAATGGGGAATTCCTCTTTGAACTTTGCGATTGAACTTTGGTTATACAAAATGTTGATTAAGTATGAAAACTGACGGTGTATAGGAGGGACAAGATTGTACTTACTTCGTATTTGCCATAAAAATCTTGTTGAAAATGAAAATGACGTTTTAAGGGTTAAGGGTATGGATCTGCTAATTCTGTATGATAAAAATCATCTATTCAATATATTATTATTATTATTAGTTTCTTTCTATATTAGCCAGACGCACTGGAATATCACTTTTCGTACGTACTACCCCGAGTCTTTAATGCCAGACGTTTACATCTTCAGCAAGCAGATAAACAGTCTGCACGGTTACCCAAAATAACATCAATATCTTAGGAAGCAGACATATTGGTTAACGGTCGTTAAACGTATTCTGTATTTGAGAAAATGTGATTTAAACTGGGACTTCGTTACTAAGAGCTGTGATGACTCAGTTCGCAGTATACAAAAAGGAGCTTGTACAAATTACATCAATAGTATCGAAATAAATCAATCGTTTATGATATTGTTGTGCTCATGCATATTATGTAAACCTAACAGATAACCCGTTTCACCCGAGGTTTCATCAGCTGACTTAGCACTGCGTCCGGGACTCGAGCGCTCATTGACGCGTGCGCCATTTGAAAATGGTATCGTATCGATGAAATGTACACCTGTCGCATCCCATTTAGCCTTCCGCGTTAATGACTCTTCCTTTTGTTTTAACAAAATGTATAATTACTTAATTAGAGCACTGATTATTTGATAATCTACCTCATACGTAATTAAGGGCAGGTGTAGCCGGTCAGACGGTCAATGGATGACTGAAGATCCATTGTTTATCAATGTAAGTGCACATGATGTCATGAACTTTTGCTTGATACAAGACATAATCAGACTCACGTCGATAAAGTTTGGAAACATTTGGGATACACATTTGAAAAATATTGAAACACGATGGCAGCGGTGGGATATTGACTTACATGAAATGAATAAATGAAAGAATGGATTAATAAATTTGAGCCAATACTAAATATATGTACATTATATTCATTGAGCTATTATATAATCTCTTTAGCTCTTTGCTTCGACGATAGTAGTGTTCTTTTAAGTCTCTGATGACACATGAAACAGGTTGATCCGACATATTTTGATCCGTCTTTGTTTCGTCAAAGATTAGGGGTTAGTGTTAGGGTTGTGATTGGACATTAGCTCGCGGGAACATTGTGTCGTACAATCCCTTACTCCATGCCGTACTGCCATGGTACTACTCACCCTCCTATTATCGAGGGATGTTGCAATAATTGACAGCAGTTTGGTAACTGAACGGGCCAAGTCATCCACGTTGTTTGTGATTCATAACACTGACTCATTAAAAAGACTTATATCTTAATTAGCTCGCAATCCTGTTCAGAGTTACCAATTACTTCTTCCTGTACTTTTTTCTCCGAAGAGCTAGTAAACAAAATCAGACCATACATCAGTATGTTCAGTATAGTGGGTATTATTTGCACGTAGACCTGTTTGTCTGGTTTGAAGGCAGTTTAATTTCTGGGATAGGCGAGACTGGCGAGTTAATCTAACCTCGAGGCTTTTTAAAATTCATGACAGCAGAATTTGAGCAGTACTATTTCAAAGTTGACGGTATTTTCTTGACAGAAGCTGTTGAGTGTGAGTGTTGAGTGTGTTAATGTGAATTTATGAATTAAAAAAAGTCCAGATAAAGTATAATACATTTTATTTCACTGTAAGAGAACTGACAGGATACTTATATATATTAAGAGATACATTTAAATAAAGGGTGGTGCTATATAGGGGTAGGCCATGGGTGCAATTGCCCCTTCTATTGCTTTCTTCAAGCACGATTGCCCTAAATAATAATATTTTTTGCTTTTTGTGTTCGTTGGATTTTTTAAGACTGATAATTATATAACAATTATGAACCTCGACCCCCTTTTTGTTGTTGTTGATTGTCATAAAAAAACTCTGGCACCACCCTGGACACAATCCACCACCCACAAACTTACATACCATTCATTCATATTTTCAGGGGGATATGCTACTTAGCCAACCATCCTTAGATTGTTCTCGCCTTTAAAATAAAAAAAACCTACAGAAAAAAAAAACACTCGGAAAGTACAGGAAAGTACATAACGAGCGTCCATGACGTATCTCACGCCGTTAAGAGCTACTACTTGTATGTCGCGTGTGGATGCGTTATTAAGCCACCCAGGCACCCACCCTTCCCTTCCCAAAGTTCATCCAACAAAACACTAATTCATAGATGGGGTGCCTGCCGTACTACAATTTCTCGCAGGGGCATTCATCGGGAGTGTATTTGTATAAATTTTAGTTCGTCGTAAAGTGCGGGAGTGAGAGAATGATACGGGTTGCGTGTTGGGAGGTTGTTTAGACTATGTTCGTGAGCCAAATCCTTCCTGAAAATAAGGAGAGTTAACCGATACCATACCGGGAAATATTATTTTGGAGTAATCACGAGCACGAGGATTCTTTGTAAAATCAGCGATGGGTAAGCTATACTGTGTCTAAATGTTTTCATATTATTACCAAAACAAAACTTATATATTGATAAATTAGAATAAATGCAATGCATGCTTTGTGGTAAGAACGTAAGCATTTTCATATCTTCTATTGTGAATATATCTAAATCATGTATACGGGACGAAATTAATTCAGTAGATCATCAAGTCAGATCTGATTGACAAGTTCATTTTGCAAAATCAACTCTAGTCTTAGCAACACTTTGCGTCGTTCCATCAAACACAAACGACTCCAGCTACAGTGTACTCAGGTGTAAATGCTAATAGTAAGCAACTCCGCGAATTGTCATTAGACCGTAAAACAGTTCATGGGAAATGTAGAAATATGTACGAAAAAAGAAATGTACTGAGGTCCAATTTGGTCCAAAGAACTTTTGACCGCTGCACGCCGGGCGTCATTTTATAGACGCAGGGCTGTGTCATCATTAGTGCGGTTCTTTGACGCATTTTATAAGAGTAACCATTATACAAAAAGTGAATTCAAAACAAACAGTGAAAAATACGTTAAAATTTTATGCTGGCGTATATAATAAGGCAAGGCTAAATTACTGCACCAGGTCAATTGCCGCATGTAATAAGGCATTGAAATGACGCCTCCTGCAGTGCGAAAGGCATACCATAGAATTCTACTTTCTTTTGTTAATTATCCTATACACTCTTACACAATTGTTACAATAATGAAGGTATCAGGGAAATATTTTGGCCACTCCTTGTATGTACTTGTCCGCAATCAAAAGATAACCATTTCCTACATGCATCAAGATTTGCATTTTATTAAAAACGGAGATTACTATTTGAGGGGCATTTTCCTGGTGCACTTTCTTTTCGCCAACAATTGCTTTACCACATTAATTTACTCCTTATTCTTTAAACATGAAACATTGACTCGTCACTATTCCCTTCAGCAAGAACCCTTTAACCCAGTAGCGTAGCGAGAATCCATTCATTGTGGAGGGGGGGGGGGTTGCGACTGTACGCGGGTAGGGTCTGATGCTGAGAGGCTACAACTCAGGAGCATTTTGCGTCCAAATTTGTCATCATTTTTATATATCGACCCCTAGCTAAATTAAAGTTATCATTTTTTTTGCGAGCGAACAGATTCGATACAGCGAAAATAGTTGCTTCTTGTAGGTTTTGTCTTTTTGATCACTTTCAATTTCACAGTGAAATCGAACCCTTATGTTCGGAACTCCCAGACGATTTACGCAAGTTTGAAACATAGGCAGGTCTTTAGTACACAACTTGCGGTACTTAAAGTGTGCTCCCCACCTCCCGTTCCCCAGGGATCACATCATAAAGCTTTCGCTTACTTCCCCCTGTCCACACACAACATTTTCCGTGATTAGGCATGATTAGCTATACCGTTTCGCGATAGTCCCCCTGTCCACACACAACATTTTCCGTGATTAGGCGTGATTAGTTATACCGTTTCGCGATAGTTTTACGATGAAATTGTGTGTGTGGACGCTCACTAACGATACGTCGTATAACGAAACTAGTCTAACGAAACGCAGGTTTGGGCATCGTTTCGAACTGAAACTCTATAAAGAATCACGCCTAATCACGCCTAATCCCGGAAAATGTTGTGTGTGGACAGGGGGAGTGTAAACTAGTGTAACTAACTGGGCGGGGCTTAACGTGACCTCGAGCGAAAGGAGACCAGACCTCTTATACGACGTATCGTTAGTGAGCGTCCACACACACAATTTCATAAAACTATCGCGAAACGGTATCACTATCGCGAAACGGTATAACTAATCACGCCTAATCACGGAAAATGTTGTGTGTGGACAGGGGGAATTTTTTTTAGGTGATAATGATTAATATTGTGGAATCACGGCTCAATTAAAAAAAAAGGATTTATGAACTTGAATGCAAAGACTTTTCTAAACCGAAAATTGATATCCAATCGATGATTAATTCTTGAAAAGACAGATTAACCAATTAACTTTTATAATATTTTGAGGATTCCTGATATTCATGTTAATCTTGCTGTAGTAAGCTTCATGTTCAAGGGTACAAGGATTTTACAGTGTTAGTGATTATCGTTATTGTGTGATTGGATTATAATGATAAATAATAATAATACAAATTACATGGAGGCGCGATGGCTCAGTTGTAGTGCAGTGGTCTCGTAACCGGGAGGTCCCGGGTTCGAAACCTAGTCAATGCTATCGTGCCATTTGGTTAGGCATTAATCCTCATTACCAAGTCCCTCGGAGAGGACTTAAAGCCGTCGGTCCTCTGGTTGTTTTCTTACAAGCATTTACCTGCTTATTTGGCAGTCGGGTAAATCAATCATCAAACATCACCACAATCATAGTCATGATTTTCGTAGTTGTGACTCGCTTCCCTCTCAACTGCTAACAGATGCATCAATCTATCAATCAGTGATCAATAAATACATAAATAAGCACTGCAGATCACAACATCACTAATGGTGCCACATAAAATACAGTTTAGGGTTTGCGTGTAGGTCCTTTGCTGCAGGAGCACAGGGAAGTCAACATTTTCCCAGGTGATTTTGGTTAAAAATATTAATCTCATAAAAAGCTCATAATTTCACTAACCCGAATATTTCCTATATGTATAGTTTAGTATCATCTTCAAATCGTGAATGTAAAATGAAGAGAAGAAACGCTTTCAACAAAACCCCTAATATGTGTTAGATGGTGCCAAGGAATGAACAGGTTTTCCCCAATTACGGAGGCATTGATGTTAAAACACAATCCAAGATGTTGTGCCAAATGAATCAACCATTCACATCCTGTATCCAAACAGGAAATGATGAAAGAAATTGAGTTGAAGGTAATTTGTTCAACAATCTCAAAAGGAAATAGGTTATTTACTACATTTCACCGGTCATTCATAGCAACTTAAATGTCTTTATTTATATTTCATTGTTTAAGTAATTCAATAAATACATCAATTGTTTGATTGCTGATCATGATGGTGCGTCTGTAAATGATAGGAAGTAATGTGGCAACTCCAATTTGGGGGTTGCATTTAGATTGTTGTTCGCAGATAATTCTACATGTAGGTCCCTTTTTATGCCTCCGCCACCGAAGGTGGTGCCGGAGGCATCATGTTTTCGGGTTGTCCGTCCGTACGTCCGTCCGTCCGTCCGTCCGTCCGTCCGTCCGTACGTCCGTCCCGTTTGACCGTTATCACAATATCTCAAGAACCATTTAAGATTTAAACTTAAGACTCGGGAATAGTATTTATCACCATAGGAAGACGATCTGATTAGATTTTGGAGTACGTAGGTCAAAGGTCACAGGTCACAGAGGTCAACTTATGAAATTCCTTGTATTGAGTTTGTTAGCGCGATATCTCAAGAACCATTTGAGATTTAAACTTCAAACTTAAGGATAGTATGTATCACCATAGGAAGACGATCTGATTAGATTTTGGAGCACGTATGTCAAAGGTCAAGGGTCACAGAGGTCAACTTATGAAATTCCATACATTGAGATTGTTATCATGATATCTCAAGAACCACTGGGGATTTAAACTTCAAACTTAGTGATAGTGTGTATCACTATAGGAAAACAATCTGATTAGATTTTGGAGCACGTATGTCAAAGGTCAAGGGTCACAGAGGTCAACTTATGAAATTCCATACATTGAGATTGTTATCATGATATCTCAAGAACCACTGGAGATTTAAACTTCAAACTTAGTGATAGTGTGTATCACTATAGGAAAACAATCTGATTAGATTTTGGAGCACGTAGGTCAAAGGTCAAGGGTCACAGAGGTCAACTTATGAAATTCCATACATTGAGATTGTTATCATGATATCTCAAGAACCACTGGAGATGTAAAAACTTCAAACTTAATGATAGTGTGTATCACCATAGGAAGACAATCTGATTAGATTTTGGAGCACGTAGGTCAAAGGTCAAAGGCCACAGCGCACATTATGAATGCAAAAACAGCTTGTGATCGCGTTATCTCAAGAACCGATTGATGGATTCATGCCAAAATTAGGTCGTGTTTGTTTTTTGCAGAGCCAATGAACTGAGTAGATTCTTGGTTCATAAGGTCAAAGGTCAAAGGTCATGGGCCCATTATGTATGCAAAAATAGCTTGTGAACGCATTCTCATTAGAACTGACAGATGGATTACTATTTAACTCAGAACATCTTGCAGAGCCAATGAACTGAGTAGATTTTATGGTCATGAGGTCAAAGATCAAAGGGTCATATATGTATATGAGAAATTGCTTGTAATCACAATATTCTGAGAACCTGTCAATGGATTACCATTGAACGTGAATTCAATTTTTTTTTTCTGTTTTGGTTTGTAAAATTGCTCTATAACGGAGGCATCATTTTCGACTGCGCGCAGTCGAATTCCATCTAGTTTCTTATTTTTCCGGGGTTGTTATTGTTGTAAAATCTTTTCATCACCCTTGTTTAGTTTAAATAGGTTTTACAGGTCATAGAATTTGTTTAAGAATAATGTCTGTGCCTGCAGACTGGTTTTCATGTCCATTCCAAAAAAGTTCGGCCTGAAAATTAAACTCCTACAAATTGGAGCACTGTCATCAGTTCATTGTCCGGTTACTTGTATGACCTGTAACCCCTCAAGTTTGTAAAAACGAATGGAAAAGTGATTCTTTCTTTTTTGCCTCTCGTGTTGATAAACCTATTATAGGATAATGCCAGTACAAGATCTGGAGAAACACTCAGATCTTACACATTTCTAAAGGCTTAGGGCCAATTTAGATTCGGTTGGCACCGTCTTGGAGGTGTCTTGTTATAGTTCATTCCATTGCCTCTAGATCTAAGGCTTGAGGGTTTGAATCCCAGCCCGGTATTCACGACTTTTGGCAAGTCATTGATCCAAATGTGCCGCTCTACATCCAGGCGTAAATGGGTACCTGGCAATCGCTGGGGAAATGACAATTGCAGGAGCCTCATGAAGAACGGATGAGGCTTCCCTGGGTAAATAGACTCATTGG